ATTTCCACTGGCAATGTATGAGAGATGAGTGTCTGCATTCCTGCCGTGGTGATCACAATTCAGTATTAAAATTAATAGACCTTCTTATAGATGTGTAGTGATATCTCCTGAGATTCTGACTTGCATTTCCCAGTAACTAATGATGTTGAACATATTTTCATGTGCTTATTTGTCCCGTTTTTGTGAAATATCCCTGAAATGTCTTTTCCCATTTTCTAGTTTGATTTGTTTTTAATAAATTTTTGAACAACCTATACATTCAAAAGAGAGATATCTATTATGTGAATATGTATTATGCCAGATATATGGTATGCAAATATATTCTCCATTGTTGTAATTTGTCTACATTATTTTCAAAAGGACATTGATCAGACATTTTTGCATTGTTCTTTTGGGCTCCGTGAGCATGTTCAGGAGAGTTCATTTTAATTCTCTTTCAGGTAAATCATGTAACTTCATTTCACTAGGGTCAGTTTTGGAGATGTATCTTATTCCTTTGTGTGAGACATCTTTTCCTGATTGTTTTATTAATTCACTGTTTTGGTGTCTGCTTCCTAGAAGGCTCTCTCAGCCTTCACTTTGGGGGAGTACAGAAGAGGATCCCACAAAACATCCTGGAAAGAGATTTGGGGGCCTCCACTAGCACTTTGCCATCTTTTGGGCAAAGCAGGCATTCTATTTATTCTGCCTTCTCTGTGCTGCTCAGCAGAAAGGACCAGTGGCATTTACCATCCCGAGCTGCTGCCTCTGTTCTTTCCCTGACAACCAGAGTGTGTGGGACTCATCGGGGCTCCAGGATTGGTGAGACAGATGCTAGTTCCTTGGGCAATTGTGGTGAAGTGGAGGCACTGCATGCGTGGATCAACTCTTTCCTACCCCAGGAGGAAGCACAGAGCTGGGATTTTCCGTCCATACACTCTGGGCAGAGTTGGGGTGGGGATGAATCAACAGTGGCTGTTTGCCACCCCCTCTATTGCTGCCTGGGTGGCTAGACTGTGCTGAACCCATCAGATCTCCAGGACTCCTGTCACAGATACTAGTTCTTTGGGTCAGCCCCTCAGAAACATTAGGGCCCTGGCCTTGTGAGCAAACTGCTTCCCACCCATCAGTAGGACGGTGACTAGAGGATGTCTTTCTGATCATATGGCCGGGCTCTGGGGCAGAGTTTCTGATGAAAATGTCTCCCAATCCTCCCTACTGGCTTTGGTAACTGATTTTCCATTCTTTTATGTTGTGCAGGAGGCTGTCTATTCATTTCTGGTTTCTCACAAAGGAAACTGTGAAGTGTTGCTGAATTGGTGTGTTTGTTGGGGGATGGAGGAGCCAGGACTTCTTACTCCACCATCGAATTTAATTTCGATGTTCATTGTAACACATTTTCATAGCTTTTTAAGAATGTTTGTGTGATAGTTTCAATACATGCCTCATGTCAATATTAGTATCAGTGGTTGTGTTTTCCCGTTTTTGCTGTGATTTCCTTGCTTGTTGATATAGGGTGTAATTTCCAGTTGCATTCCTTTTTTTTTTTCTTCTTTTTTTTTTATTGTTCAAAGTTTTACATATGTCTCCTTTTTCCTTGATTGACCCCCCTACCCACAGCTATGCTGCCCCCTTCCTTGCAAGCTCCCCCTGCTCCAGTGTCTGTGTCCATTGGTTATGCTAATATGCGTGCATACAGTCCTTTCCTTGCTTTCTTCATGTTTAAATAACCTAGATTTGAAAGCAGTCACCCAGGTTAAGTGTAGATTTAGTGTGTTCTATTGTTCCAATGGCAATTAGCCTTCTTGGGTCCTTTGATGTTATATTGTTGTGCTCTGCTGGAGCTCCTGCTGGAGCTCTGCCTGTGCAGCCTTTAGGGGTAAAAGGCACTTTGCTGTGACAACCTGTATTGCCAGGTGGGGTTGGATGGTGAAGAACCCATGGGAGGGAGAGCATTTCCTCTGACTGTTCTCCAGCCACAGGATGCCAGTAACTTCCAAACTGTTCTCCTAACCAATTGCAGGTTTTCACATTCCCTTCAGCAACGTACAAGAGTTCCAAGTGCTCCAGATCCTCACTAGTACTTATTTTTCATTTTTAAAAATGTGTCCTTATTGATGAAAGTATTACAGATGCTATTTGTTATTTTGATGTTGATTTGACAAGACCCTTATCAGTTATATGCTTTGCAAATATTTTTCCCCATTTCATGAGTTGTCTCTTTCTAGATCATATCCTTTGACATGCAAAAGTTTTTGTAATTTTAATGAACTCCACTTTATTTTTGGTTATTGTTTGTGCTTTCTGTGTCAGAACTAAGGAAAGACTCCCACTTCCATATCCAAATTTATGAAGATTTACCCCTATAGTTTCTTGTAAGAGTTTTATATTTTCAGCTCTTATATTTGGATATTTGATCCATTTGGACTTAATTTTTGTACATGGTATATAGTCATTACCTGATATTATCTTTTGCATATGGATTTTCAGTTTTCCTAGCACAATTTGTTGATGAGACTATTTCTTTACATTGAATAATCTTGGAAGTTATATAAAAATTTATTAACTGTAGATGTATGAGTTTATTTCTGAACTCATAATTCTATTGCATTGGTCCGTATATCTCTCTTATTATAGTACCACACTGTTTTGATTGTTGTAGCTATGTAGTAAGTTTTTATTATTAAAAAAACTCTTACACAGTTTTAATTGGGTTACATAGCTTTTTATTACTGAGCTGTAATATCTCTTTTTATATCTTAGATACAAGTTTTTTAAAAGATATATGTACAAACAACAACAAAAAATAAACTGGAGTTCATTAAAATTACAAAAACTTTTGTACATAGATACAAAACATACTTAGATATAGAACAGAATAATGGTTGCCAGATGGGGATGGGGCTTGGAGGACTGGGAGAAAAAGGGAAGGGATTAAGAAGTACAAGTTGGCATTTACAGAATATTCACAGGAATGTAGAGTACAGCATAGAATTTTTTGCAATTATATTGCAAAAAGTATTTATGGTGCTAGGTGGGTACTGAAAATATCAAGGGAAACATATTGTAAATTATCTAATATAAAATAATATTAATGTAAACTGTAATTAAAAATAAATTTTAAATTACAAATAAATAACTGAAATAAAATATATGTATTATGAATCATTTCATCTAGGCCCATGGTTGGCAAACTGCGGCTCACGAGCCACATGTGGCTCTTTGGCCCCTTGAGTGTGGCTCTTCGTAAGCCTGAGGAGTACCCTAATTAAGTTAATAACAGTGTACCTACCTATATAGTTTAAGTTTAAAAAATTTGGCTCTCAAAAGAAATTTCAATCGTTGTACTGTTGATATTTGGCTCTGTTGACTAATGAGTTTGCCGACCACTGTGCTAGGCCGAGGCAGGGCAGCACAATGCAATTCAGCAAAAATGAATACACCTTGTTTTTTTTGTTTTTTTTTTTTAACATATTTAGCTTTAAGAAAGAACAAGTGGAAAGCACAGGAAATTTCCCTGCATCCTCCCAAATTAGTTACCCTATTATTAACATCTTGGATTAGTATGCTATTTAGGTTACAATTTATGAGTCAATATTAATATATTACTATTTATTAAATCTTACAGCTTACATTAGGATTTTTTTTCTGTTTCTGTTTTTGCTTGTTTATTTTATGTTTTTAGATTCAATTGTTGATATATATTTATTTACATTTTATTGTTCATATGTTTATGTTTATCTTTTTTCTTAATTTTTTTGAAGAAGTATTACATTAAATTATTACATTTCATATAATACTGGTTTGGAGGTGATAAACTCCTTTAGCTTTTTTTTTTTTTTTTGTCTGGGAAGCTACATGTCCTTCTATTATAAAAGGTTCTTTCAAAATTTTAGAATTCTTTATTATAGCAAGAATTTTTTGGGGGGAGGGCATTATAGGCAGATGATTTTAAAGAGGGAGAAATTGTAGGTAGATCAAAAGGAAATGGGATATCTGGTAAATAACATTGTTTAATTGGCTAAATCTGTACATTTCATAATATCTAGAAAGTAAGTATAAAACCACACACTTCATGTACAAACCATTCATGAATGTACCTTTATGTACTCCTGTTAGAGGCATTGCTTTTACCAAGGATATGCTGCAGAGATTCCAAATTCAGTCGTGACACTAAGCACCTGTTCTGGACTCAGGTAATGGCAACTTCCAGAGATGTGCATGATTGACAATCTTGTGTAAGACTTTAATTTTCCCAAATTCCTTGAGTGATAGAGTGAAAGCAAAGAAAATATAGGCTTTGATCATGTTTCTTCACATATACTTTCTATTTCTGTCCTCCTCTTATATTTTTTATATTTTGTTGTCTCTATCCTAAGCTTACAGTCATAAAATTTATTCAGAAAAGTCCACTAGTATAAAGAATATTCATATGGATTAGCCATACAAGAACCACAGGGACTTATAAATGCCATAATAGACAGATGGCATAAAATGAGGTTGAAAGTTAATTTGAGTAAAATAGGATGATTCTTAGATTTAATTTGACCATAAAGACAACTATCAAATTTGTATGAAAGTTTTTATTTAGTATAATTTACATTTCTCAAAGGGAAAATCTGTATTAATTACTTTTATGTCTTTTTATGTATTTAAATATTCAGGGGATTATTGCAGTTGGTGAATGTCAGTTACGGAATTGAACCATTGGAATCCACAGCTATGTTTGAGCATATGCTTTATCAAATAAAGAATAATAAAGCTGATTTTCTCCCCTTACAAGACAATTATCCTAAAATCCAATTGGGAGATCAGGCCTACAGGATTCTTGTGAAGTCAGAAGTAAGCCACCGTATTCTGAAATTTTAATTTTGCTACGTTTGATAAACTTATTCTCATAGAAATTTGTTACATTTAGAAAACAAATTTAACCATATTAATTATATTAAAATGTTCTCTTGTAAGACATTTATTTTAAGTATTTTATGAATATATTTTATGAATATATAAATAAGAATATGTTTAGCTATAAAAGAACCATAGGGACTTGTAAATGCCATAATTGACAGATGGTATAAAATGAGGTTGAAAGTCATATGTAATTGGAAGTGTAGTAATATAAACAAACACACTTTAAATATAAACATTATCATATTTCCCTAGTTGCATTTTTATTGAATTTGCATCCTACTAATGCAATGATATCCAGATGTGCTGGTTATTATTTTATCCATATTTTTCTTACCAATACATATATTAACTTTGTACAAAAGTATTATTTTGATAGAAAATTTAAAAGTAGAAAAAATCAAAATGTTGTCCCAAATATCATTATCTAGAGATAGTGTTCTTAGAGTTTTGGAATATTTGGTCCAATTTTTAGAATGTATCTACACTAATAAAAGACAAACATGCAAATTGACCATCCCTTTGCTATGCCTTCAGCCACGCCCACCAGCCAATCAGAGCAACTATATGCACATTAACCCAACCAAGATGGCGGCCGGCAGCCACGGAGCTGGAGCAAGCAGGAGGCTTGATTGCCCCAATGATGGAGGAAGGCAAGCCTCCTGCCTGCATCATGGCCAGCTCTGAGCTCCACTCAAAGCAACAAAGTTTCAATTATAGAAGATAAATAAACCCCACATACCTGCTTTCAGCTGACTGTGACCATGGAGCTGGATTGAGCAGGAGGCTTGGGTTGCCCCTGGTGATGGAGGAAGCCAAGCTTCCCTCATGATCGCCCTGGCTGGCTCTGAGCTCCACTCCAGGCTACAAAGTTTCAATTATAGAAGGTAAATAAATCCCAGAATAAAAAAAAAGAAAAAAAGGAGCAGCTGGGAGCTTCCGTCACCGGGGGGCTTGGCCAGTCTGAAAACGGCCCTCAGCCCCTCACCCAGACTGGCCAGGCACCCCAGTGGGGACACCCCACTCTAAAGTGGGTATGTGGCCAGCCTGAAAACAAACATCAGCCCCTCATCCAGGCTGGCCAGGCACCCCAGTGGGGACCCCCCCCCTGAAGGGGGTGTGACCAGCTGCAAACAGCCATCAGCCCCTCACCCAGGTTGGCCAGGCACCCCAGTGTGGGGACCCACCCTGAAGGGGGTGTGATTGGCCTGCAAACACCCATCACCCCTCACCCAGGCTGGCCAGGCATCCCAGCAGGACCCCCACCCTGATCCAGGACACCCGTCAGGGCAAATCTGTCGACCCCCACCCATGCACCAGGCCTCTATTCTATATAATAAAAGGGTAATATGAAAATTGACCCTAACAGCAGAATGACTGGGAATGACTGGTCACTATGACACACACGGACCACAATCGGCCAGACTCTCAATGCAGGAGCCGCCCTCTGGTGGTCAGTGCGCTCCCACAAGGGGAGCTCTGCTCAGCCACAAGCCAGGCTGACGGCTGCCAGTACAGCAGTGGTGGTGGGAGCCTCTCCCGCCTCCTCAGCAGCGCTAAGGATGTCCGATTGCAGCTTAGGCCTGCTCCCTGCTGTCAAGTGGACATCCCCCAAGGGCTCCCGGGCTGCCAGAGGGATGTCTGACTGCCAGCTTGGGCCCAATCCCCCGGGGAGCGGGCCTCAGCCAGCAGATGGTCATCCCCTGAGGTGTACCAGACTGCGAGAGGGCACAGGCCTCGCTGAGGGACCCTCCCCGAGTGCACAAATTTTTGTGCACCAGGCCTCTAGTCTTCTACAAATGTGGATTTATAAATGTATAGATTTTTTTAAACAAAAAATTATCTAACCATGTATGTTTCTTTGAAATTTCATTTTTTGCTCTTCAGAGGACAATGCATTCTTTCACTTATTAAATTATTTTACGTGTCTTATTTTAAGTAATATTGGTTAACATTGTTTAACATATTATATATATATATATGTAAAAATTGCCACTTAGTTCTTGTTAAAATGCAGAATGATCCAATAACTTTAGCAAATAATCTGGCACTTTTTCTTTCCCTCAAGGAAACACAGACATGAAACTTTATTTTAGTCACTTAACACATTGGTGTTAATACTATTTCCCAACTAAAAAGAAAAAGGCATCTGGACTGTCTCCAGTTTGCCCTCACAGAAAAACCATAATCTACAGTATCAGAAACTAGTTGGTAAATTAAAATATTGTAACAACTTTTCAGAATCTTCTTTTTCATGATACTCATTAGAGCATCATCTCCATGTCAAAGGATTCACTCTGGGGCTGCTGAAACCTGGTTGAATGACCTCATCATTGTGTGAAGAACCTCTTGGGCCTCCTGGTTGTGTTGCTATACTCTTCCAGGGTGAGGGGGGGACAGGGTGTGAGGACTCCTGTGGCATTCAGTCTGAGGGAAGGGGCAGAGGAAGAGGCCTGCAGTCTGTCCCTTCCAGAGGGAGCACAGTGGCCAGAGACCCAGGGTGCCAGCAGCAGGGGCCCATAGGGTCAGTACACTGTGAGTCTCCAGGAGACAAGGCAATGAGGAGTCAGAGAGGGAGGGAGGGACAGCAGCTCTCAGCCTCCAACCGGGGAATCCACTATCTCCACTGCTCCACCACCTCAGCCCCACCTTTGTCATGGCATGGGGAAGAGGCCTGCGGGGGGCTCCAATCTGTTGGGGGGCCCCGCCCCACTGGGAGCAGTGGCTACTTTGGACTGCTCAACTCACTCCCTGCTCCAGCAGTCTGGCGCTTTCCTAGCATTTTGCACTCCCACAATTACTATATGACTCAGGAATCCCACAATTACTATATGACTCAGGAATTCCATTTCTAAGTACCAAGAAAAAGGAAAGACAAAATTGCACAAAGACCTGTACATTAATGTTTATAGCAGCTTTATTTATAAAAGCTGAAATGTCTACAAATGATCAAAAGATAAATGTATAAACATGTTGCAATGCATATCTTCAATGGCACACTACTTAGGAAGACACTAATGAATTACTAATAATCACAAGATGGATGAATCCTCAGTGAAAGAAACCAGATAGAAATGAGTACATGCCATATGATTCCATTAATATGAAATTCTAGAATAGATCATTGTAACCTATGTTGAAAACAAACAGCAGATCATTGGTCATTGGTTTCCTTGAGCCGGGTGGCTATTGACTTGGAAGAGGGTAATGACAACATTCTTGGTCTTATGGAAATGGTTACATGGCTGTATATG